GAGGTAGCCCTTGTGCCCCTGGGCTGGAGAAAGATGGATGAGGAGAGTGTACCTCAGTGGCCTTAGGCATGGCTCCTGGCAGTGCTCCCGGTAGCTGGGTGATGAGCCCCTCCCAAAGGGCCACCCAGTACTCATCCCCACACACCAGTTGGTTGCGGGGAGCCAGTCTAAATGAGCTTGTGGCAAAAGCAGAGGCTGCCTTGAGTAGGGACCTTACCTCATTCCCCATCCAAAGGGGAGCAGCATGTGGGACGCTCACCTGGATCAGGGGCTCCTCGTTGGCCCCCTGGGAATGGGGGTAGTAGGCGGAGGTGGAGTGGAAGGAGAGTAAGGCAGTGTGACTCTGGTCATGCTTCTTCCTGGGGAGGGATGGGGAGCCCCACCCCCTCTCCCATTGACACCCAAGCACAGAAGAGTGGGGACCCCACCTACCACCATGACCCTACAAGACAGCCCATTGGTTAAAAGGCTGACTAAACTCCTATGTTTTTCTCTTTGAGGGATTTGGCTGAGAACTCTCCCAATCATAGGTAACTGTCAGAGGTAAGGACTTTCAGCTCTCCTGAGCTGAGGCAATTTGGGCACGGAAGGCTGCTTGTTGCCTTCTTCCCAATTGCCTATGAGTCCAGCTGGACCACAAAGTGAGGCAAATACTGGTGGAAGTGTGTAGGCTTATGGACCCTTGTTTAAATGGCTGCAGCCTTCTGATGGCAAAACTCATTGGAAACCATTACAAATGCACTTCAATCAAGAATTTGCTTTTTATTTCAGAAAGTCTTTGACCAACATAAGTAATCTGTGGTTGAGAAATTTGCCACTTTTTCCTTGGTCTAGCAAAATGTTTAGTTGGTGCACTTCATCTTCTTCCATCCCGTCTACTGTGCAGTGACACCTTCCATTCAGTGTCTACAGGTCGATCCTGGAGAAGTCCTAACAGATGTGAGGGGCTGCAGTGGAGGGAGGTGCATTCATAAAGTCAGGAGACTCACTCATTTTTCACTGAAAAGCCTTGCTGTTGGGCTGGCCACATCAGACTGTGCTGTGTCCTTATGGCCTGTGGACTCAGTCAGACACGTGGTTTGACATTGTATCAAACTCAGTTTGAGATAGCGCAGGATTAGCAGCTGAAACAAGATAGTTATGGAGAAAGCTTGGGAAAATTCTTGAAACTCTGGCAGAGTCTCTGTAAAGACTGTCCTTTTTTGCAGGAACAGATAAGATTACGACCAGTGTTGCTAAGCACCCCATGCAAACAAAATTGTGGCACTTTCCCATAAAACACCCATACATCTGCGCGTGGGAAATGAGCAGCATACACTAGCTACTTGCTTGTGGTTGTTAGTTGCCATCAGGTTGGCTCTGACTCACGGCGACCTCAAGTCTAATGGAGCTAAACGTTGTCTGTCCCACACCATCTTTGTGATCATTGCTTAGAGCCTGTTTATTTTAGACTCCCAGTTTGTTTGCTTTGTCAACGTATATGTCTCCTCCACATGGAGATTTGAGAGACGCTTGCTGCCTCTGTTCCCAGTAACGCGGAAAAAATTGTAACTCGATTAAATTAAGATCCCGAAATTTGTGTCCCTGAAAGACCCCTCAAAAAAGTGATCCGAAGGCAGTCTGCCTTTGCTACAAGGGTGGCAGCATATGCAAGCTGTGGAGATCTGACCGTTTGGACAATTGAAGATTCATGCTCTGAGGCAGAAGGCTGACAACACAGGAACATTCTAGGCACTGGAATTACAACAGTGTGTAAAGTAGACAAAACTCTCTGCTCTTAGGGAGCTACCATCCTTGTAAGTAAGAACGGCTCACTAGGTCTCAGGCACTGTTGTAAGCATTTCACACACACTAACTTGTTGAATCCTCCCACATACATACCCTGTGTGAGTTCCTGTTGTTATTAGTTGCTGCTGAGTTGATGCCAACTCATGGCGACTCCAAGTGTGCCAAGTAGAACTGCACTCCATAGGGTTTTCAAGGCTGTGACCTTTCAGAAGCAGATCACCAGGCCTTACCTCTGAGGTGCCTCTGGGTGAGTTTGAACCACCAACCTTTTGGTTGGTAGTCCAGTGCTTAACCATTTGTACCTCCCAGGGACTCCTCCCCTGTGAACAGGCACTTATTACCTCCCCTTTGCAAATGGGAAGCTTGCCCAGACTTACACGGCCTGCAAGTGGCATGCTAGTGTTTCCACCCGGGCAGTGTATATCAGTGAATCTCAGACTTTAAAATGTATACAATTTACCCAGAGGATCTTGTCTAACAGCTAATTCTGATTTAGTAGATTGGGGTGGGGCCTGAGATTCCGCAGTTCTGACAAGCTCCCAGGTGACATTAATGTTGCTGGTCTGTGCACTGCACACACACACACACACACACACACACACACACACACAAGACAAAGCAAAACCCATTACTGTCTAGTTGATTCCAAATCATAGTGACCCTATAGGACAGAGTAGAACTGCCCCCGGTTTCCAAGGCTATAATCCTTATGGAAGCAGACTGCCACATCTTTCTTCCGAGGAGTGGCTGGTGGGTTTGACCCGCTGGTCTTTCGGTTAGCAGCTGAGCACTTAACCACTGAGCCACCAGGGCTCTCTTTTTCTCTCTTCCCTGTGTATATATAGAGAGAGAGAGGAAGAGGGAGGGGAGGGGAGGAGAGGTCAATTGTTGGAGACAGTTAATTCTTTAAGAAATTCAGTCATACTTAAGCAGTTGAGAGAAGCTACACAGAAAGTGTAAAATGGCAACAAAGATATTTAGGAGTCAAGTAGAGCTTTTGGAAATTCTTACAGTGCTAGGGAGATGAAAATTGGAAAGACTGGTAAATACCCCCAGGCTTTCCATTGGTGATACCCTAAGAGTAAGGACAAATCAGAAGTAGGTAAGACCATACAAAAACTCTAAACAGTTAAAACTCTGATTGGATTAAGGTGATCTTCTGCTATTCTAAAACTTCCTACAAGAAAACTGAAATTTTATCCAGATCTTCCCACTTTTTTATACCCAATGTCTGGCATTCAATTACAAAATATCAGGCATAGTAAGGGACAAAACCAAAAGCAAAAAACATATAATAAAAACAAACCTATGGGTGATGCAGTTTCAAAAGTTATCAGACATGAACATTACAATGATATGATTAATATGGTCAAGAAATTAGATGATAAGCTGGAGACATTAGAGAACCAGAATCTATAAAAAGTCATTAAATGGATAACCTAGAACTAATAAATACAATAAATCAAATTAACAATATAATGGATATCTTTAACAGCAGATTAGACGTAGATGAAGAGAAGAGCAGTGATCTGGAAGATAGGTCAATAGAAAATAGTCAATGTATCCTGGAGAGACAAAAGGATGGAAAATTCATAATTGAAATACATGACAATAATAATACAATGTTTGTGGGAGGGGTAATAAATAAAGTTAAGTTCCTGGCCATCTTTGCCATGTTTCTTGCCTCTCATATTGATTCAGTTCCTCATTGTATGACCCACATTTAGTCTCCCTTTCTATTTTAACTACCATTGGCCTTTTATTCAGATCCTAGATTCTCTTGTCTTGAATTGTCCAATATGGTAGCTACTAATCACATGTGTCTATTTACATTTAAATTACAATAACAATTTCAATTCCTTAGTTACACTAGCCACATTTCAAGTGCTCAATATGTGGCTAGTGGCTACCATATTGGAAAGTTAATATTTAAAACATTTCTATCATCACAGATTGTTCTATCAGATAATGATCTCATTCCCTGACATTTTACTTTGTTATTCAGATTGTTTTACTTTACCTATGATTATGTTTCCACTCTGCGTAAATACCTTTTCATGCTTCCAGACTTCTTAGTGTAATGTTCAAGGTTTAACTTAATTCCGTGTCTCCCTGCCTATTGAAAGCAGGCACTATAAATTCACTGATCAACCAATGACTGAAGAAGAGAAAATAATCTCAAAATCAGATGCTCACTGTTATGTGTGACTGTCTTGCATGGAAAATAGTTCTCAGAACACGACCCTGAGTCATCGGATGACTCTAGGTTCCTCTGTCTAGGAATACTGGGACAAGTGCACTACACTTTAGAAATACTCCCATTAAACTGGTCAAATAAATAATGTTTTGGTTCCTGGAATTCCCACTGGGGAATCTTTATTTGGCAAATGTCTTAGTCATCTAGCACTGCTCTAACAGAAATACCACTACAAGTGGATGGCTTTCACAAAGAGATATTTATTTTCTTACAGTCTAGTAGACTAGAAGTCCAAATTCAGGGTGTCAGCTGCAGGGGAAGGCTTTCTCTCTCTGTCGGCTCTGGAGGAAGGTCCTCATCATCATTAGTCTTCCCCGGACTAGGAGCTTCTATGTGCAGGAACCTCAGGTCCAAAGGACCCGCTCTGCTCCTGGTGCTCCTTTCTTGATGGTATGAGGTCCCCAACTCTCTGCTTGCTTCCCTTTCCTTTTATCTCTTGAGAGATAAAAGGTGGTGCAGGCCACACCCCAGGGAAACTCCTTTACATTGGATCAAGGATGTGACCTGGGTAAAGGGGGTGTTACAATCCCACCCTAATCCTCTTTAACATAAAATTACAATCACAAAATGTAGGCCAACCACACAATTCTGGGAATCATGGCCCAGCCAAATTGATACACACATTTTTGGGGGGACATAATTTAAACCATGACAGCAAGGATAAGAAGCAGTTGGGGCTTTTACTGACAGTTGGCTGAGTCCTGGCTTTGGCATTTACTGACTTTTAAACACAGACAACTAACTTCACCTGTCATATGCTCAGGTTTCTCATCCATTACAGGGAAGTTGTACCTCTCCCTGATGTGAGAGCTGTGATAAGTAAATGTGATTTTGCAAATACAAAAATTAATAGATTTAAGAGTGTCCTATACCATATGGCATTTTGGATTACAGTGTGGGCTGGGTCTGTGAGCTGCTCGACTTCATGTCATGCTGTTTCTTTCTCGTCTTACAGTGATTTCCCTCAAAGCTTCTGAAGATTCACCCTTCGAGAAAAAGAAAGGGACCTGGGCATTTTTTGAAGGTAAAGCTTGTATATTTTTTTATTATAAGACACAGTGTCACTTTTAGATAAAAGGAAAGGAATGGAATAAGAAGAAAGGACCTTAACCTCTTAGTTTTGTGATAATATCAAGTGGTTTTCTTGGTCTAAACTTACTCTAGAGTAAAATGGGAATTTCTGTTGGTATATGTCCACAGACATTTAAAGTGTGGAGACTGAAGCATCAGTCTGCATATATAAGTGTGTGTGTGTGTATTTTGCTCTAGAATCCCTATTCCCATTTGATGTTAGGGGGATCTTCAAGTGGTATATGGTATAAATGGTTAATGTGCTTGGCTGCTAATCGAAAGGTTGGAGGTTTGAGTCCACCCAGAGGCACCCCGGAAGAAAGGCCTGGTGATCTGCTTCTGAAAAATCAGCCATTGAAACCCTACGGGATGCAGTACTCCTCTGACACAGAAGGGGTTGCCATGAGTCAGAATCATCTCCAAAGCAACTGGCTGGTTCAAGCGATATAAAAAGGAAAAATATTGTGTGACTACATTTTATCTCAAGTTTTTTAAAGGAGTTTGAGGTTTCAGAAACAATTTGAAATCTTTAAGCAAGTGATTCTCAACTGTGGATGCATGTTAAAATCACCTGAGGAGCTTTAACATTAGCTCTGATGCCTGGATCCTGTCTCTGGAGATTCAGCTTTAGCTGGTATGTGTTAAAAGCTTCTCAGTTGAGGACCACTGCCTTAGAGCGGTGGCTGTCACAGCGGGTCCCAGATCAGCAGCGTTAGCATCAGCTGGGAGCTTGTTATAAATGCTCCTTACTGAATCGGAAACATCAGGGGTAGTGCCCAATAATCTGTGTTTTAGCAACACCTCTAGGTGATCCTGATGCACACTTCTTAGGTTTGAGACTTAGAGAGCTGGTTCTCAACCAGCGGTGCTTTTGTAACTCCCCAGGGGACATTTGCCAATGTCTGGAGACATTTTTGGTTGCCACAACTGTCAGGGTGCTACTGGCGTCTAGTAGGTAGAAGACAAGGATGCTGCTAAACATCTTACAAATCACAGGATAGTCTCCACAACAAAGACTTATCTGGCCACAATTGCAAGAGTGCCTAGGTTAAGAAAACCTACCTTAGCATAAGGATTGTTCACAGAAATTACCACAAAGCATTTGAGAGTTCCCGCCGTAAGCAGTGAAAAAATGCACTACTGTGTGAGTTCTCAGGCAGAACTGTTGATCAGTAAAGATCAGTTGATGTTAAAAGGTGATCAGGAACTTGTAAAGGATTACATCTGATGAAGGCATGGAATTTATGGATGATCAATGATCTTGCTAAAAGGATTTAAGGAGCTGGCGTTCCTGGGACCTTGCCATCTCCTTGGTTAACCCAACTGGGTGTAGTGGAAGGGTAGAAGAAGAGTTGGACCAGAGGGAGAGCATTTGGATTCAGCTCAG